ATATTTTTTTTTATCCCATGCATGTATATATACGTAATAACATGATAACTTGAAATAATATTAATTGCTAATTTTTTACATATGCAACTTTCCTAAATTTTAACAGTTAACATATGCAGAATTGATAGTTGAATAAAACTGTGCTTTTTTAAACTGAAAAATTTAGAAAAAAGAGATCAACATTGCATATTTAAAATTAGAGAGACTATTATAACAAATTAAGAATTAAAGACAGACCATTGCAATCTAAAAATTATAATAAGATTAAAAGTATAATTTAACGTAAATAATATTTGCTTCATGTAGCGGAAACATTACCTTGAGAAATGAGAAGAAGAAAGATAACTACGTTGAGAATCTTAATGGTTGAATTGGCCATTGCAAACAACACAAATGCAAGTTTCAAGAATTTGTTTAAGCAAAGTATATTATTACTTCCGGATCTATCTATAAGAATCAATTTTAAATATATATATTTATTTAATATGAGACTCAATGTATATATTTTTTTTTTAACTATTTTTATAGAGGTGTATTGGTTTATAATTTTATAAGACTATTTTAACATGTATGAAAAGTCTTGTACATTTTATAAAACTTTGTAGAAATATAATGATTTAAAAAAAAATTAAAAAATTTATAAAAGTGTAATGACTTTTAAAAAAAATAAAAAGAATTTTATAATCAAGGTTTTGTTATATACATTTTAATATATTTATATCATAATAATTTATAAGATTTTAAAGTACAATATTGATTTTTATGAAACAATATAATTAATAAAAAAAATAACATAAGCAATAAAGTTTGAATAAAGAAAAATAAAATCAATACAATCTTTTAATAAAAAATTGATTTTAATTTTATGTCCTCTAAATAACATTCTCCCACACACAATCTCCAATTATTGATATTTTCTTATTCATGTTATTGAATTCGAACAATATGTTCAAATTTATGTTATACATTAATGGATAAAATAATTAAAATTGACTCAGCATGATGGGCTACTTCATTGGCCTATTAAGTCAAGTTTAGTTAGACTACTTATTTTTAGACTTGAAAAAGATTGAACCAATTTGTTCTAACCCGATAAACCAATCAAGTCAGGCTAGACTAATAAAAACTAGGTTGGAAAGGTATTAGACCTATTTGGTCTCATGAATTTTAATATTTTTTCCTTAAAATTAATTGTAAAATTATTGAAAAATACATAATCATTTTCAAGTTACACACACACACATATATATATATATATATATATATATAAGAAGATATATGTTTACTTTAGGAGTAAGTTTACTTAGATTTACTTCATTCAATAATTCATGTTCTACATCAAATATTAATGATCCGACTGTTGAATTTAAAGTTTTTAATACATAAATTAAATCTGCAAATTTTTTAAAACTTTAACAATAATTTAATACTTTGTTTCATTAATTTAAATCAATGTATAAAATAATTTTATGATTATCCGTCAATTTAAATTAATGAAATAAAGTATCAAATAATTTTCAAATTTTTAAAAAATTTACAAATTTAATCTATTCATTAAATTTTTTAAATTTAACAGTTGAATTGTTAAAATTTAATATAAAATATTAATTATTCTGTCAAATTTCACATATAATAAAATGATCTCTAACCTTAAACATTAAATTACAAAATATATATATATATATATATATAAAGAAGGGTTGAAATATAAAAATTTATTACATAAAAAATATAATAATTTGATTAAAGTTTTTTAATTTTTAATTAAATTTTTTTATATAAT